CCCGGGGGCGAGGCGGTGGGAGGGGCTTGGGCCGCACCTGCGCCGCGCAGGCGCAAGGGAGGGGGCCCAGTCTCCAAGGCAACCGGGCTCAACAGTTCCAGCCCCGCCGGCTCTAGAGGCCTGCCGGCGCCCACCCGCCACCATGTGCGCCGCGGAGGTGGACCACCACGTAGCCCAGCGATACCTGCTCAAGCGGCGGCTGGGGAAGGGGGTGAGCCCGGCCACCTGCAGGGCGGGGGCAGGTCCAGTGGGAGGTCTGTTCTCTCCGACGCTGCCCGGGGTCCTGGGCTCGCGACCAGTTTCCTCCACGGACTGGAGGGTGGCCTTGGGCAAGACACCGAGCCCGTCGGGCCTCAGTTTCCTGTAACAGGGCTCTAACAGTGCCCTACTCCAAGGGAGCCCAGGGGTCTCAGGCCGGTGGGACCCTGGACAAACCCCCTCCCCAGTGCCCCGCTGCCCAGCGTCCCCTGCTCCCAGCTGCCTCTTCTGGTGCCCATAGGACACTCTAAGGAGGCCGGGCCCGCCCACTCCAGTCGCTGAGGGCGATGGGTGGATCCCAAGCCTGGCCCAGGAAGGGCCTGAGTGGGTAAATGGTCATGGATTGAGAGCCAGAGCCTTGTGTGAGCAAATGTGCATTTGTATTTGTGTGCGAGAGCATGTGGGATTGTGTATAAGAGTGTATGTGAAGGTGTGTGACTGTGTGGGTGTGTAACGGGGGAGGAAGGAAAGAAAGAATGTTCCAAACAGTTCAGACAGCAAGTGCAAAGGCCCTGAGGCAAGGACCTGCTGGCTGTGGGGAAACAGCAGAGTTGGTGTGAACTGGATAGGAGTGGCTAGGGGGAGGACTCTGATCACCTGCGGCTTTGGGAAACTGCACGAGCTTCTACTGGGCATGACACAGAGGGTGATAGCAGACTTTGGTGCCACAAGACTCACCCTGCCTGTTCTGTAGAGGATGGATAGTGGTGTGGGCTAGGGAGACCAGCTAAAAGGTTAGTGTAGTGATCCAGACAGGAGATGTGGGAGAGGCACGAGGCTCAGACCAGGCACGGCAGCAGAGATGGTAGCAAGTGGTGGGATTCTGATGAACTCTGAATGTGGAGCCGATAGGATTTGCTAATAGGCTGGAGGGAGGATGGGAAAGAGGGGAGAGGTGCCCAGAACAGGCTTCATCTCCCACCCAGAATCTCCCATCTGTGACCTTATCTCCTCCTGGGGCCTTGCTTCCCATCACCCTCCTGGGCAGCAAGCTGAGCAGCCTGCAGCTGCAGGGACCTCACCCAGAGCCACAGCCCCTCACCACACCCTCATTCCCTCCCAGGAGCCAGAGCGGGGAGGAGGAGCAGTCTGGTGGGCAGGGGAGGGCTGGGCAGGAGTCTGGCCCTGTGCCCCACAAGCTAACCAGCCTTCTCACAGGCCTATGGCATCGTGTGGAAGGCAGTGGATAGGAGAACTGGCGAGGTCGTGGCCATCAAGAAAATCTTTGATGCCTTTAGAGATAAGATAGATGCCCAGGTAAGTGAGTGGAGAAGAGGTGTGAGAAGGACAAGGGCAGGGGTGTGGGGTAACTCCCTGCTGCCTAGTAGCTAGCTCCGGTGTTATTTTGAAGCCTGTTCACAGCAGGTTTCTGTCATTGCTCAGAGCACCAGTTGCTCTGTGACCCTATGGTCCAGTGGGTGTGGGTGATGAGCATCAATCCCTATAGATCCTTTTAAGAAGTGGGCTTCCTTCTTCCTCCATACCCACACTCACGTTTCTGTCTCATTCCAGAGAACGTTCCGGGAAATCATGCTGCTCCAGGTGAGTGGCCAGGGCCATCTGACCACCTCCCCAGGTGCAGTTTCTCCAAACAAGGGGAGAAGCCCAGACCCTCGCCTCTCAAAGCACACAGCCCCTGGCTCTCTCCTTAGGAACTTGGGGACCATCCCAACATCATCCGCCTCCTGGATGTGATCCGGGCGGAGAATGACAGGGACATTTACCTGGTGTTTGAGTCTATGGGTGAGTGAGGCCTTGCTCAGTCCTGGTGCAGGACCCTCCAGTGGCCTGCCTCCCTTTGTACGCCCCCCTTGCTGCTCGGGTCACCATAGCGGCCAGCCCTCAGCTAGGGCAGTTCCTCGGTGGGCAAGGACAAACAGCTGGTGTGCGTCAGCACTTGGGCCTGTCAGTGACCACGTTGAGCCCCCCTCCACAAGGCTCCTGCTTTCTCCACTGTTTGCAGCTGTATTTTCCTTTTTCTACCCGTTTTATAAAACAAGGCAATAGGAAATAAAGTATTAAAAGTAATCCCACAGACTTTTATTGCTGTACCAACAAAGGCAGCAAGTGGGCCTGAGAAGCTTGCCAGAACCACTGGAAGTGTGTGTGCCCAGGACAGGATCAGGGACAGGGCTTCGAGGGTGGCCAGTGGGACCTGGGGACTGTGGCCACAGGAGGGGTCCAAAGTGGGACAGACCTGTGCACTCTGCCTGGGCCCCCAGGCTGACCCACATGCTCCCCTAGACACCGACCTGAACGCTGTCATCTGTAAGGGCAGGCTGCTGAAGGACATCCACAAGCGCTACATCATCTACCAGCTCCTACGGGCCACCAAGTTCATCCACTCAGGACGCGTCATCCACCGGGACCAGAAGGTGCCACCAGTTCTCCATTCGTGGGCCCTGTCCCCCCACTGTGTGCACCCACCCCTGACAGCCCTCAGTCCACCTCCTCTCCTGCAGCCTTCCAACATTCTCCTGGACTCCAGCTGCTTGGTGAAGCTCTGTGACTTTGGTCTTGCCCGCTCCCTCAGCGGCCTCCCTGAGGGGTCTGAGGGCCAGGCCCTGACAGATTACGTGGCCACACGCTGGTACCGGGCTCCCGAGGTGCTGCTGTCCTCAAGCTGGTAAGAGCATCATTCCCCCCACCCACCTCTGCAATCCTACCTTCACCTTCCCCTGCAGCACCCCCCATATCCTCTTGCCCAGCCTTCTTGTGCCCCGACATGCATCCTCACTGGCTCCCTCCCAGCACTCCAGACCCCGCCCCCTTGAATGTCTCCCCTCCTCCCTCCACCTCTGCCTCCAGGGTCCCCCCGTGCCTCCACCCCTTCCTGCCCCAGGTACACCCCTGGGGTGGACATGTGGAGTCTGGGCTGCATCCTGGGGGAGATGCTTCGGGGGAGGCCCCTGTTCCCTGGCACATCCACACTGCACCAGCTGGAGCTGATCCTGGAGACCATCCCACCACCATCCAAGGAGGGTGAGTGTGTGCAGGGGCTTGCTGGGCATCAGGGAGTCTGAGGGTCAGCACACACAGCTGTGGGGGGACAGCACGGTACCAGCCAGGACTGGTGGGGAGGAGGCTGAGGACGAGGGGGACGGGAAGGGTCCAGAGCCTCAGAAGACAAGAAAGGGCAGGCCCTATGCATGCTAGGCCCAGGGAGAAGCTAGGGGTCCTCGAGGGCCAAGCAGTGCCCATGAAGGGTCCAGCTGGGTCAGGACAAGAGCGGAGGCTGGTGGGAGCAGGTCCAGCAGCTGTGCTGGGAGTGGGGCAGCAGAGGTCGGGGGAAGAGGCGTGGGGGTAGGTAGTTTAGGGGGTCCTTCCTCTTACTTGGGGGAGGGAGTGGGGGGGAGGATCCGGTGGGGGGAGCCCTATTGTCTTCCCCAGGTGGAAGTGGGGGAGCTCTTCCATGGAGGTGGGAATGCCCAGACTGGAGTGCGTGTGCAGGAGTGGGAGCAGGAGTGTGCGAGGGCAGGCACGCGTGCAGGAGCACGTAGGTGCGCACACAGCATGAATCCAGGTATTCAAGCTCCGGTCCCGCCAGGCAGCCCAAGCCCTGCAGAGAGACACAGCATGAATCCAGGTATTCAAGCTCGGGGTCCCGCCAGGCAGCCCAAGCCCTGCAGAGAGACAGGCACTCCACAGCGCAGGAGGAGACAACTGGCCCCAGACCTCCCTGGGCTGCCCAGCTGGACCAGGCCCTCCCCATCACACACCTCCTGTCCACCCACCTGCAGACCTCCTGGCTCTTGGCTCAAGCTACAGTGCCTCTATCCTGCCCTGCCTGGGGTCCCGGTGAGTGGGGCTGCTTAGGAGCTTGGCTCTGGCACACTTCTGGTCAACTTGCTGGCCAGTCTGTCAGCCCAGATCTGGGCCCTGGTCTTCCCATGGCGGTCCCCAACCCAGCAGTTTGGTTGCGCTAAAAATGAGGAATCCCCAGCGTCACCCAGCATGGCCTGAGGCATGGGGAGGCCCACAGGAACGGAGCAGGGCACGCAGAGGAAGGGACCGGAGGGCAAGGCAGGGAGGGGTCTCGCCGCCCTCCCAGGCTGCCTGAGGGTGTTGCATGGGGAGGGGAAGATGCACTGGACAGTTAAGTGGTGCTGGGCGGAGGGTCAGGGTCGGAAGCAGAGCTGCCACGGATACGGGTGTGGGGAGGGGCGCCGACCTGGAGAGGGGACAACACGCGGGCGCCCGCAGGCCACGGCAGACGCTGGACACCCTCCTGCCGCCAGACACACCCCCGGAGGCCTTGGATCTCCTCAGGCGACTCCTGGTATTTGCCCCCGAGAAGCGGCTTAGCGCAGCCCAGGCACTGCAGCTCCCCTACGTGCAGAGGTAGGGTGGGGGAGAGGGCGGCATCCCGACCCACTCCTCCCTGGCTGGGGCTGGGTGTTGGGTGGCGGATCTGGGCTCGGTCCGAGAGGCCCGCCTGACGGCAGCGCGAGTCTCGCTTCTCCCACACCCGCCTCGCTGGCTCCCCGCAGGTTCCACTGCCCGGCTCGTGAGTGGACGCTGGATTCGGCTGTGCGGCTCCCGGTGCTCGAAGGAGTTCAGCTCTCAGCCCCCGAGTATCGCAGCCGCGTCTATCAGGTGCTCTGGCCGCGACCACCACCGTCCCCCATCCACGCTCACCTCGAGGCCTTCCCCTGCCTCAGCGACCCCCAGAGCCCTCTACACCCGCGCCGTGCACCTCTGAGCGCCCCTCCCTTCCCGCAGATGATCCAGGAGCGCAGGGGCAACAGCCGCATCCCCAGAGAGAAGGGCCTGGGGGGCACACCCGCGGGGGCAGAGCCCAGTGCCCCCCAACCCCAGGCGCACCTGCTCAACCCCAGAGCCGTCCCTCAGCTGCCCCCGGGCTCGCCCACGCAGAACCCTGGACGCAGACCTCAGAGCAGCCCGGGCCACCAGTCCGCGCACGGTGTGTGATCTCGGACGGCCGCCCCGCACGGAGCACGACCCCTGCCCCTTCTGGGTGGAGCCACCAAGCGTCCGCCGGACTAACCCTGAGGCTTGATCTTCGGACCCCACAGACATTGCCTGCGGAGCCAAGAATCTTCCGCAGCGGAACTCGGCCCCCGCGCTCCAGCCTCCGCCCCCAGGAGGTCTGGGGAGAGGGGAGAGGCCCCCTGGGGCGACGGCGGAGGACCCCTCGGCACCCTCGTGGGTAGGTCAGCCCGGGAGGGTCTCTCTCGCTCCTTTCCGAGGGCCTCTGCAGTGACCCCGTGACGCGCCTCTTCCCAGGTGAAGCCCAGCGGGAAGGGGGCGGCGTCCTCCCTGGCCTCGCAGGCCGCCGCCCAGGTGGCCATCCAGGCCCTAATCCGGAGCGACTGGAATCCAGGCCGTGGGGTGAGGGCAACCGGCGCGCGACGGGTGAGCTCGCCCGGATCCCCGGCCCTCCGCTCCCTTGCCGTCCTTCCTGCCCCCTCAGCCGCTGGGTTCGCCCGGGTCAGTGCCCTCTCCTCCCTCTGGTCCCGCCCCTTATGCGACCCCTTGACCGTGCAGGTCCCTCGCGGGCTTCCCGCGGATGCCCGGCCCGAACCTCGGCCGGGCCGGAGGATGTTCAGCGCCTCGGCCTCGCAGGGAGCCCAGGGTGCTGCAAGGGCTGCGCTCGGGGGCTACTCACAGGCCTACGGTACCGTCTGCCACTCGGCGCTGGGCCGCCTGCCCCTGCTTCCCGGGCCACGCGCCTAAGGTGCCCTACCAGCCTTCAGTCCAGCTCTTCTGCTCAGCCGCGGCCCTTCGCTCAGTCCCCCGCCCCTCTCCCAGCCCTGGATTTGCCCCCAAGTACCCCATGCTCTCCACCCCCTCTTACCCGCTCGCCCTTTTGCCTGGCCATATTCTTGAGATCCAGGGAGCCTGTCCAGGCCTCTCTGGGGGAGTAGATGAGGTTCCCACCCATCCCCAATCACTTCCTCCAATAAAGTCTTGCCTATCCCCACCCAGCCTACCTGCCTATCTTCTAGTCTCAGTGAGGGACTCCCTCTGAGGCCACACCACCCCTTGCCTGGAGTCCACCCCCTTCGGAGGACCCCCATGTCTAGTACAGAGCCCAGGAGAAGCTGCAAGGACACCTGCTGTCCCTGGGTGGCCCCTGTCTGCCCTGTGCCCACTGCTCTCCCTGGAGGCTCACAGCGCCAGTGACTGGCCTGGAGGGCTCCTCGGGGCCAGCTTCCCCTCCTCTCTCCACAAATGCTCTGGGGCCTGCCTGGTGCCAGAACACTATCAGAGGGACAAGGCTACCCCAGGGTGCTCGGGGGGCGGGGGGGGGGGCAGAGACTTGCACTTGTTGCCTCAGTGCAAGCCATCACCTGAGGGCATTTGTGACCCTGAGCGAGAGTGGCCGTGGACGGGAGGACAGGGCAGTGCCCCAGGGTACAGCCCCTGACTGACCGTTGTGCTCTGGGCCACCAACAGTGACTGGCAGCCGGTCTGTCCTGGCAGGGGTGGGTCCAGGGGGGTGGGAGCTGAAGAGTTCCAAGGGGCCCCGTGGGCATCTGTCTCACGGTTCCGGGTGTGCCTTGCACCACACCTGACCCCGGGCAGGGGCTGGAACACACAGGCCACTTCCCAACTGCCTGGTTGGAGCTCACAGTCTAAAGGATGCGGCCTGTGCTGTGTTGGGGGCTGGGCTGCCAGGAGCAGGACCTCTGCTCACCTGTAAAAGCTGCTGGCTGCTAGGAGAGCCACAGGTGGGAAGGGCAGGGAGAGCTGGGCAGAGGGCAGGCCCAGACCAGGTGGTTGCAAGAGATGGAGAAAGCTCAAGAGGACTTGGGAGGAGGCCCAGAAAGGAGGCAAGAGTAAATGCCCCAGTTCTGGCCTGGAGGTGAGCCAGTCAGGAGACCAGGCTGCCCAGGGGGGTAGTCGGTTGAGTTCTTAGAGCCTGAGCCATAGCCCCCAGGTGATGGACGAGGGGGACAGATGAGGCAGTGGGAAGGAATGCCACAGGCCAGAGAAGAGCAGGTGGGGCCCCAGGAAGCCCAGCCCTGCAAACACGGGGCGGCTGGAGGGGCTGAGGGATCCGGACACCTGGGCACTGGTGTCTGGGGGCGAGGGGGCTGGGAACTGTCTGCTGGGCTTGGTGATCAGGAGCCCCCAGGGGAGTGCTAGTGGAGTGTGCCTAGGCAGAGGGCTGGTGGAATTGAGGAGTGGGAGTAGTGAATGAAAGCGTTTGCCTGTGAAGGGGAGCGGGTCATGGGAAGGTGAGGTGGAGTCTCCAGGGTTAGATGTGGCTGCAGGTGTTGGCAGTACAGATGGGGGGGGGTCTCTAGTGGGTCCCACAGGGATGGGTGGTGCTGTCCAGAGGGAAATGTGAGTTCCCAAGACTTAACATTTGCAATATACTAACTGGGTGATTAATATATGTATTTAGGAATGTGTTGGAATATTTTGTTGTGTTTTATTAACACCAAAATGTGCAGAATCACATTTGAGTTGTGTTATTCAGCACGACGTGGAGGATGCAGACAGGAGGCTGCATGGGCTCCCCCTTAGCAACGGGCCGCGCCAAGCACGCGAGAGCAAACAGGTCAGCAAGCACGTCAAGGCCAAAAAACACTCCAGCGCATCTGGCTCCTCAGTGACCTTTTCCACCTGAACCAAAGTATCCCCCAGCCTCCCCGCCCTCCCTTCTCCAGCTGTCTGGAGTCAGAACTGCTGCCTTTGCTCAGTGGCCTTGTTCCTTAAATCCTTTCCCAGTCTGCGTGATTTCGATTTCTTATTCTTAAAAAAAAAAAAAAAAGGGTTGCAGAAATACTAACTTCACAATGCTAGCACTTACAGTGGGGGACTTCCTAAGCGTTTGTGGTGTTAAAATGTGTTATTCCAAATCAAAGTCACTCTCCAGAGATGAAAAAGATACCGGAAAGGTAGGTGGGGAAGCTTTGACTTTGCAGGTTGGTGACAAAGAGGGCAGGATCCAGACCAGGGTGCAGTCGGGGTCTGCTGCGCACCCGAAGGACCAGGACCCTCAGAGCAATGGGCTGGGGCTCAGGCACTGCCACACCGAAGCCCTGCCCCCGGCTGTTCGAGGACAAGCGTTCCAGGGCAGGGCCGAGGCCCAGCATGCATGGAGACCTGGCTTTATGGTGCTGCGCCCCCAGTGCTCTCACCCCTAGTGGGGGTCCGGGGTGCCGGCTGCAGCCCTGCAGGAAGAGAGGCTGGGTCGGTCTCCGTTCTCCTGGCAGGACAGTCAGCCAGCTCTGCCTCCCCAGGGTGGGCCACTGAAAAGGCTGCCAGGACGCAGAGAGGGAGGCAGTGAGGAGGAACGCAAGCAGGGCAGGAAGTGAAGACTGAGCCACCAGGGGTGGAGGGGGAGACCCCGGCCGGCCAGGGGAGAGGCTGGGGCTGCCAGGAGGCGGGCAAGAGGCAGCTGTGAGGAAGCCGTAGAGCCAGGAGGCAGTGAGCAGAGGCGAACCCTGAGACATGGAAGCCCTGAGACGTGGAGCCCCCAAAGATGGGGGACTGAGGCACAAAGAGATGGGCCCCCCACAAGGTGGGGGCGTAAGGCACAAAAAGGGCCCTGAGGTGAATGAAGGTCTAAAGGGGACCTGAAGCCCAGAGAGATGGTGGAGGCAGATGCGCAGGAATGGGAGGCTCAGGGCCCAGGAGCACAGATGGAGCTGGAGGAGGGGCAGTGAGAGGCTCGCGCCCCAGCGGGGAGCGGCCAGGGCAAAAGGCAGGCCAGCTACTGGGTGAGCTCCAGGCGCAGCCAAGCTCTGGCGGTACTCAGCCGCTTCCACGCCGCCTTGAGGGGAGGAGAGCCAGGTGCCCTGCCTGGTGGGTGGCAGCGAGGGGGCGCCTGGTCCGGGGCTGGGGGGCCAGGAGGCTCACTTCCTTTTGAAAGTACCCAGGATCCTGGGCATGAACTTGCCCACCTTGCTGTCCCTGGTGTCGTCCTCTGCTGTGCCCTCCCCTGCCCCCGGGCCTCCGGCCTCTTCCTTTTTGCAGAAGACCTCAAACCGGCTGTAGACGCGCTTCTCCTTGCGCATGCTCTCCATGCGGAGCAGCAGCCGGTCGCGGTCCTCGGCGCTGGCAGGCAGGGTGCGGCTCAGCCTTCCCTGGGTCCCCAAGCTGTCCGAACGGAAGATGGCAGAGCATTTGTCCTTGTCGGACATGTCAGGGGCCAGGCCGCCAGCAGCTGGTGAGCGGCCTAGCTCAGGACTGCTGTGAGCCAGGCCCGGGGCCGGGGCCGGGGCGGGGACCCCGCGGTGTTTCTGGCCGTGGGCGCTGATCTGCTCGAGAATGGCTTTCGTGTCGTCCCGCAGGTTGCTGCTGTACAAGGCGTTGGCCGTGGTGGAGCCCATGCGCGCCCGCGGGCCCCGCTCGTCTCCAGTGGCAGCCTCAGTGCTCTCAGCCCTGCCCAGCGACGGCCGCCGGGGGCTCTCGGGCTGCCCGTTCTCCTGCGGCGCTGGGAAGCCGCCCTCTTCCTCCGTGCGCCGCTCAGCCTTGGGGCTCAGCAGCTGGCGGAGGCGCAGGGAGCCCTTGCGCAAGACTTCCATGGGGCCGCCAGCCGTCTCCTCCGCGGCCCCAGTCTTGGGAGACTCCTCGGAGAAGGGAAGGGTGAGGCTGCCCCTGCGCTCCGGCACAGGGGGGACCGGGCTGCCCCTGCGCTCCGGCACAGCGGGGACCGGGCTGCCCCTGCGCTCCGGCACAGCGGGGACCGGGCTGCCCCTGCGCTCCGGCACAGGGGGGACCGGGCTGCCCCTGCGCTCCGGCACAGCGGGGACCGGGCTGCCCCTGCGCTCTGGCACAGCGGGGACCGGGCTGCCCCTGCGCTCGGGATAGGCCGAGGTGGGGCTCCCTTTCGGCTCAGGGTGAGGTGCCTGGCGCGGCCCAGGCCCCTCCAGCGGGGGGCTGACCCGCCCTTGTGGGGAGGCGGAGCGGCCCTGGCTAGAGAGAAAGCGAGAGGGCAGCCGGTCGGTGCCGCTCCGGCCCAGCGTGTCTAGCAGCTGGGTGGCAGTAAGCGTGGCTGCTCCCGGGTGCCTCTCAGCCTCCTGGTGCAGCCGCTGTGCGAAAGAGTCGCGCAGGTCCAGCAGGCAACTCTCGAGGCTGCGGCGCTCGCTCCCCGCCCCACCCGGCGCCACCGCCTCCTCCCGCCACGCCTGGGACACAACAGCCTTGCTATGGCTGGCGACTGTGACTGGGGCCCCCGCCCCTCCGGCATCACGCGCCGGGCCCTTGTATTTCTCCAGGAGCTCGGCCACCTTGGTGGAAGTGGCGGAGCGCATGGCCTCGCCGCCGGGGCCCAGCATCTCGCTGACCGCCTGCTCCTTGTGCAGCAGCTGTGCCTTCTCGGTAGTGGCCGCCATGGACCCACCGGCGCCCTCGGCCTGCGAAGCGCTGAAGATCAGGGAGGAGCGCAGGCGCGAGCTGCGCTGGATCAGCGGGTTCAAGCGCGAGCGGAAGGAGTCCTGCCTGGCCAGACCTGCCTCCTCCAGGCCCTCGCGCTCTGGGCTGTCGCCACCACCGCCGCCGGAGCAGGGCACCAGGCCCTTGGCCGGGTAGGGCGCACGGGAGGCTAAGGGGAGCAGGTCCCCGGGGGCCATTCGGCCGCCGGACACCAGAACGTCGTCTTCATAGGCCTCAGCCTCCATGGGTGCCGGCAGGCCCTCCTCGCCCGCGTCCTCGCCATGGCAACCGCTCAGGTAGGACGCCAAGCGCCAGTGCCGCAGCCCCGCCCGCCCCTCGGGCCCGCCCCTGCGCTCCTGCTCGGCGTCGGGCGCGGCGTCTGGGCCCTGCCTTGCCACTGCCTGGCACGGGAAGCGCTGGCCCAGGTTGGGGCGTGGGGCTCCGCTGGGTTCCAGGCCGCGGGGCCCGGGCCCCGAGGCGGGGTCTGAGCCGTGGCGCACCTCGCGCGACGCGCTGGACGGCACGTAGTCCAGCCGCTGGTGTCCGTCGGGGCCGAGCTCGGGGAAGCGTGGCCCGGGCCCCAGCGCGAAGTCGTCGTGCTCGGCGAAGCCGGGGCGGCCAGCGCGCAGCTTCTCAAACAGGCCCTGCGGCCGCGCCGGCGCGAGCTGCGGGTCCCACTGGTAATGCTGCTGGTAGAGCTGGTCACGGTGGAAGTGACTGGTCTGGAAGCGGAAGTCGTCACCGTGGCTGAGGAACGTCTGCCGTGACACCTGCCGCGCAGCCGCGAAGTTCTCCACCGCGCCGGTGCCGTCGGCGGCCGCGTAGCTGTGCCGCTTTAAGGTGTCCATCTCCAGATGCCGGGCCTGAAAGAAGCCCCGCGGGCCCGCGAGCTCTCCCCCTAGTCCTGCCTCCGCGTCCAGCCGCCGCGATAGCGGCCGCAGTCCCGCGTGCGGCTCCAGGGCTCCCGCGGGCATCCGCGCTGGCTCCTCCCGGCGGAAAGCAGACAGGAAGTGGCGGTCGGGGTCGAGGAAGGAGGGGAAACCCAGGCCCTCTTCCCGAGGCGGTGGGAACAGAAGGTGCGCTCGTTTGGGGAAGGAGAAAGGGGTCGGCGCGCCGGTCACCTGGCCGCCCATAAGGGGCCCGGCTCCCGCGTATGGAGCCAGGGCGTAAGCATCCATGCGGGCCAGTGCCCCGGCTGAGGGCACCAGAGGCTCGGACTGCGCGAACAGGATGCGGAACTCCTCATCGAAGCTGGAGACCAGCTCGCCCTGGAACACGTGCGCCAGGCTTCGGTGGATCTTCTCGAAGGACCACATGAAGCTGCGGGTGGGGCGGGGTCAAGATCAGAGTCAAGGAGAGGGGCGGAGCCAGCGCCGGAGGAGGGGGCGGGGCTGAGCAGCAGCGGGGACCGCGCAAGGCCACCTGTGGTTCGGAAGTGTCAAGTCTGCAAGGACCGGAGGGGGGGTGGGGTGCTGTGTCAGGGGCTACTGTACTAGGGCTTGGGCAGGCGAGGTCCTTGGGTGGGGAGGTGTCGGGCGGGGGCCCTTAGGTGGGGAGGTGTCAGGATTGCGGGCTGGGCGCACCTGTAGCTCCCACTCATAACCACGGCACAGTCCACTAGCAGGAACTTCTCCTTCACGTGGCCCTTGAAGGACTTCCCAGTGCGGCAGTAGTAGGTGGGGCCTGCCACAGTGCGCACGCGCAGGAACTGGGGAGGGAGAGGCATTAGGTCTCTGCAGGGGAGTCTTCCACCTCCCTACACACCCCCTGGGTCACTCACATCCACGTGGTGCAGGTTGACGCGGCACTTGTCGGCCATGTCTAGGAAGTGCTGCGCATTCATCTCATCCAAGAGGATGTAGACCGGGACACGGCGAGCCGCTGCCTCCAGCACTTCACCAAGCAGGTCTACGTCGGTGAACATGTCCATCACCACGGCCACCACCTGCGGGGGGCAGGTTAGGGACAGGGGACAGACCCCTGTGCTGTCCCCACTATTCTCTAGCCATTCCTGCCTGGCCCGGGCAAGGCCTCAGGATCACCCATGAACACTGCAAATCGCCCTCTAGCCCATCCCATGGGAGAGCGGGGCCCTGCCAGGGAAGGGGAGTCAGGAGGAAAAGGCCTACCAGAGGGGGTGTGGGGCTGCTGGTGGGTGCGTGGCCCATGATGGAGCCCTAGGCAGGCACAGGGCCTACCTCCTGTTGGGGAAGGGACAAGGCAAATGAGGCCCCTGAAAGGCACCTCACACTGCCCTGCCCTCAGTGGCCGAGCCTAGGCCCTAGCTCTGCCCCTGGGAGGAGACTGCTGTAGAGGGTGCACAGGGCAGCTGGGGGTCTCTAGCTTCTGGATCTGCTGCCTCAGCTTCCATGTCTGGCTCCCTTTGCTGTTTGCCACCTGTTTGGTGGGGTCAAGCCTGGGTCAAAGGTTCGACTAGAGAATTCTCTGAACCGTAAATCCAGACCAGGAAGGGGGCCTAGCATCCCAGGGCCCTTGAATTTCTGGGCACTGGCCATGACCAAGGGCAAGCAAAACTGTGCAGCGGGCCCCCCGCAGCCTGCAATAACCAAACACTTCGTGACCCCCAAAGCTGGCTGCCAGGGGGCCTGTGCCGTAGCTTGAAGGCTGGAGAGGCGTGGCCAGTTGGCCCTGGCCTCACCCTTGCCCCTAAGCCGGAAACGCTGGTATTTTTCTTCACCCGCATACTCCACTCATGCTCCAGGCCCGGCTCGGGCCCTGCCCCCACTGCCCACCCAGCCCGCGACGGCACACCTGCTGGGCAGAGCGGATCATCCTTCGAGCCTCATCCTTGATGCTGGGGCTGTCAGGCGGTGGTGGCTGTACCAGGGTCGTGACTTCAGTGCCCTGGAAGCCGAAGGTCAGGGGCCAGCCCAGGTCAAGCTCAGGCACTGCCTGGTCGGAGTTCATGGGCCAGTAGGTGCCTGAGGAGCCATCCATGTCCACATTGGGAGGGCTGCCTTCGGGGGGCTCGCGAGCAACATGCTGTGGGGGCCGCAGGTGGCGGCTCACGTGCTCCAGCTCCTCAGGGCACAGGAAGGCAGGTGCCCCCTCAGACGCCAGGAAGCGGCTGTAGGCCTCTGGCCCTCCCTCAGCCAGGGCATCCACTGCCAGGCGGTAGTACTCTTTGTAGTGAGGTGGCAGGTACCCAGGTGCCAGCGGGTTGTCCCCCTGCGAGGAGCTCTGGGAGCGACGGGCCATGTCGGGGCCAGGGGCCTGGGGAGGGGCAGGGAGACACATTCCTGGGGCAGCGGCACTGGGCCCGCTCCCCGCCACCCACCACGTGCAGACACACGCTGTAGCAAGGGCTGTCTGTGACCCTGAGCGGGTCCCAGGATGCCCCTGGCTGGCGGGGTGCCGGGAGGGTGCCCCGGCCCTGTCTCATGTTGCTCCGTGCTGGTGGGGCCCTTCCTCTTCCCGGGACCTCAGGAGCGCCTGCACCCTGGTTTCCAGGCAGGGGCTCTGGCTGCACGAAGCCCCCACTCAGGGTTCCTTTATGGCCCCTGTGACCCAGGTACTTCTTTGTGGGCCCCTTCCTCCATAAAAAGAAAACCAATATTTTATGATTGTTGGCATAAAGAAAATATAATCCAGGCTGGATTCTTTATTATATTGGCTTTTTTCTTCTGATTTGGGCATTAATGCATTTTCGTGGGCCCTGAACGAAATCGTGTACTGAACAAGTCAGGTGGCCCCCCACCTGTGTGTCTCTGTCCGCAGTACAGGGGGGCGAGGGGGGGCCCAGGGCCACTCGCTGGGCCTCTCTGGCTCATTACCTGCCTGTAAAATGCAGCTGCCTGGGCTGACCTGCTCCCGTGCCTGGCCCAATGGGAGCTCAGCCCACAAAACTTGTCACTTTTGTCCCAGGCCTCAGCACCTGTCCTATGGGGTCACACACTCTGAGCCCCAACCTATTCGCAGACTTCACAGCCCTCCAAACTCTGACCCCTGCCCTTTGTCCCTGTCCACCAGGACCACTCCCTTCCCTTTGACCCATCCACCTTTCTAGCCACTGTCCCACCTTAGATAAAAACCCCTGAGCCACACCCCCTGGCAAATCCGGGCAGCAGCCTCCTGGCTCTCCACAAGCTTAGAGTCCTGCATGGCTAAGCCCAGCCCTGCATGCCAGTGGCGGTCTTCTGTCTCTGGCCATGCCCTGCTCCCCGCTGTGCTCTGGATGAAGCCTGAGCCCTTGGCTGTGGCCATCAGGCTCATCCTGGGCTCCAGATGTGCCTCTCCCCTTGTCCCAACTTCACGCTGACACCTAAGCCCCACCTGGTCCACTCCAGTCCACCTGCCTCCCAAGGGCCTGGAGGGAGCCTAGGCTGGGAGAAGCTGCCTTTAGCTCTGGAAGGCCACATGGGGGCCTCTTTTGGATCCCCAGGGGGCATCAATCCAATCCCTGAACTGCCTAGATACCTGTCCTCCTCCTACCCTGGAAGGAGAGCCCCAGGCACCGCCCACCCCACCCCAGCCGCTGCTTGGGGCTGGGACAGAGCTGGATTCGGATCCCACCTAGCCCTCAGGTTCCTGGATGCTGGTCTTGCCAGACTGCACAGTGTGCCCTAGTCCACAGGGGCAGCTGGTTGCTGCTGACTGGCCAGGGTCACTGGGTGGTCGGAGGCAGCTGGGCACTGGAGAACGTCAGGGCCAAGACTGTTGTGTATGACGACCCGAGGGACCTCTCCTGTCTGCTCTCCTGGGGGGTGACAGGCAGACTGGACGTGCCATGGGGGTGGGAGATGATACCTGGGAGAGGGTCTGTAGGAAAGCTGTTCTGCCGTTCCTTCCTCAGGGCACCACCCTCCGTGGTTACACACGATACCCATACTGTTCTCAGAGGCAGACTCCACTGGGGCACAAGGTGCAGGTCTGTCTGTGGCGGGGTCTCCCACGGTATCCGACAGAGGGTGGTGGGGGGGGCGGGGAAGACCCTGGAATGTGGCTGTATGGGGCCAGTGTCAGACCAGGCAGGGCTTGGGGGCATATGCTGCTCACTGTATTTGAGAAGGAGCACTTCCCAAGCTGGGGACCCCTGCAGTCCCCTGCACTTCACTGAGAAGGGGAATCAACAGAAACGGTCCAGGCTGGCAGCAGCTGGGGGGGGGGGCCGGGTGCCACGGTGCCCAGGGCCCCCGCAGCAGACAGGACTCATCAGGAACGGGGTGCCTATCCTGAGTGCCCACACCAGGGGGCTCTGCATGGCCTCACACAGTAATACCCGTGACCCCACTGACTTCCCTCCTTTCACCTTGCACACCCCTGAACTGTGAACTGGGCAGAGGCCACTCTCCAGCCCCCGACAGGGCCCCAACAGTGTGGCTCCTCACACATCTGCCCACTGAACGCCTGTCCTGAGGGAGGGAGAGGCACTTATCCCACCCAGGCTGATGACTCAGCAGGAATCTGCTCCTTTGCTGCTGACCTCTGACCCCTGACACAAGGCGGACACATCCTCAGGGCCCTCAGGGCTCTAGTGGGCCCCTAACGAGGGACTTCCCACCTGGGTAGGAGGTGGGTTTTCTAAGCGACTGGAAGGAGCACAAGGCGACGCCGTGCGCTAAGTACAGGTGGGAGCACGGGTTCCCCGCAGAAGCCTTTGCCAGCCTCGGGCCAGGGGGACGAGGTTGGGGGATGGGATTCGGCCAGCTGGGACGCACAGACTGAAGCTGGTGAGTTGTAGTCTTCGGGGGGTGCCCCGCAGGGCCAGAAGGGCTTAGTGCGCCCAAGGAACTCGCGGCTGCATGGGCCTGGTGTCCCATCCACCCACCCCAGGTCGGTGACTTGGGCGCGAGGGTACCGGGGCCTTCCGCTCTCCCGGCACTTCACGCAGGACACCGGACTGCGCCTCGGCCTCCCCAGCCACCCCCGGTCCAAGGAGCCCAGGGCGGGGCCCCCTCAGGGAGGGGTCCAGGCCAGGCCCAGCACCCTCCCCAGGCTCCAGCTAGGCCGCGAGGGCGGGAGCGAGTAAGGACGGCCCGGGCAGGCTCGCCCCGGAGCCCGGGGCCCCTTCCCACTCCGCTCTTGCCGGGCCGGCGTCGTGCGAGGGCG